TTTGTAGTATTTATAATGTGAGTCCAATTTCCATTAGCATAGGAATAAAGTGCACTTACTTTCCTCAAAAGTCTTATCAGGAAGTAGGCATCATGGGTTTAAATTTGCAGAGGATAAAATAAAGTGTCCTGAATGGTTCAAGGACAGAGCTGCATTACCAGAAACACAATTCTCGTACTGTTCAATTAGGACTTGGTTTCATGAAACTGTGAGCTGGCTTTTCAGTTATGGAGGACTATTTCTCCTTCTCCTTCCCCAGTGATCTCTAGTCTCATGCCAGAAACCTTGAGTGATCCAGATTAAAGTGAATTCTAAGGCAATGGAACTAAATACAAATCAGAGAAAACTAGTACAGGATAGAAAGGGGGATAGCCGCCAGCATTCGCTGCTTGTATTATTCACTGTGCTGGACGTTTTACAAAAAATTTCTCATTTACTTCTTGGAGGTCCTAAGAGAAGCATCTGGCTCTGGCCCATTGCTTTCCTTAGGTTTTCAGACAAACCTGCAAAAGGGCTTTTTACTGCCTATTGTACCTAAGTAAAACACAGAGATCCCAGTCAATATGACCAGTTAACTTGAGTTGTCATCTGTCCCAGCTCAGCGATCAACTGTGATTTCAGAGAAAGTTACTTCCCACATTAAACTTCTGAAAACAGATCTCTAAGATAAAGAGTTATCACAACCCATCAGCCCACTATGACATTCTGCGCTTCAGGAAAAGGCACTGTCTAAATTTCAGACAAATATTTAATAAAGGGTCTCTTACACAAAGCCCAGTCCTAATGTTAGGAGCTGCCAATATTACTTAGGCAATTACTGAATATTTTTAAATGCTTAAAATGATTAGAAAGATTCCTATGCTAAATTTCTAAGACAACGTTTTACAGTGTAACTTGCCGCACTGATCTCCTCAAGCATTAATGACAATGGTAGAGGCGATTTCACTACAAGCACGTGGATGGCAGGTGTGAGCTGTCCACCAGCTGGCGCCATAACCTTTTGATCCCTCTGGACAGCAAATCTGTTCAACAGCCCTATGTGGTCATTCCTCATTTGCTGTATGCTTTCTTCTCCTTTCATACATTCAGAACCCCTACTCCTTTAGCTTGACGTCTTTTTATTAAAATAGAAAGCTCCCAGTAAAGCAAACTAAAACTAATTTTACACTCAATGTAAAAGTCCCAGAAACAATTAATACATTAGATCAAGAGTAGTGTGTGATGTTTTGTTTACATGTAAAATGCATGTTTGTTTATTCTTTCACTTAAAAAAAATGAGTCAGAGGATTAAGATTTTAAGTAAACCGGCATTTAGTTAATTATGGAGTACTCTAAGTTACTATAATGAAATACGAATGATTTAATCACACAAAGAGAAATACTTAAATTTTACCCAAGAACAATCTAATTTATAATTAAACAATGATGAAAACTATCAAAAAGTAGTCTAACAGTTACTTTTTCTGCTTAATTTTGATGTTGATATAAACCTAATATGGCTGGAAAGGACACTATCTGAAATCAGCATTAGTTCAATCAAACATCTACTCATTCTTCTACCTCAATCCACATCATCATTTAAGATCTAAGGATTCTAGAGCAAGCAGGAAAGACTAAATACATTAACATTTAAGAAAATGAGTTTTGGAGCCTGACAGTTGCTTAATAACTAAGGACCTTCAGAAAGTTCTTGATTTTGGGGCCAGCAGGTGGCATGATGAAAGGTGCTGGACGCCCACATAGCTGACTACAGTTTGAGTCCTGGACACAGCAGCTTGAAAATCACACTAGTCATGTGTGCATGTGTGTCCAAAGTCCCAGAGGAGAATGGCGGAGAAGGGATTGGAGTGTGGCTATCCTGCCAGGGAATGATTTTTTATTTTTCCTCTCATTCTCTCTCTCTATCTCTCTTTGGCAAGTGCACACACCCTAAGGCAAAAATCTTAAGCAAAAAAAAGTTCTTTAATTCTAAAAGAAAACAAAAATGAGGATAGAATAGTGTATGGTAAAAGTAGTATGTATTTTACTGGGTTATTTTAATGGTTAAATGAAACAACACAGACCAGACATTTAGCTAAAGCCCAATACAGATATAATGTCTAATTAACGGTAGAAATTATCACTATTTTATTTATACCTTCATCCTCTCTGGAATCACTAACAAACCTTTTGCCTAGAATCATTTGCATTTTTATCATTGCTTTAGGAAGTAACTTGTGGTTATATTATGTCTTTATCTTGTAGCTAACTCATTCTCTTTTTTTCCAGCAACAAAATAAAATAGTGTTCACTACAATTGCTAATGGTGCCTCTCTTCACAAATTGACCATTATACAATCCTGCACTAATCTTGCGGATTTTTCCTAGGCCTTCATAAGAATCAGTCTTCGAGGTTTAGAAATTTTCTTTTACTCTACCCTATGTACCTACAGGTGTGGGTCCCCTTTGCCCTTCTGTAATACTTAGCATTCCCAGCTATTTTTCCTACTCTAATGTACTCCCTTTACATACTGTACAGAAGTCCACTCTGAACACAGATGTCTTGAAAATGTTTCTCAATATTTCCTATTAGATTTTTCTTTTAAAAGGAATTTCTAGTGATTTGCTACTGTCGAATTTTACTTTCAACCAACTCTACAGTACTAAACTCACAGTATGCCCTTTACTTTGGAGATCTTTTAGTCAATAAGGTTTATGATGATCTGAATTGTTTAATTTTGTTTTATGGAATATTATGCAATGAATGATCATAAATTATGACCAGAAATGCTGCTCCAGACTATTTATTCAAATAATCAAAAGCAGAGCTTTTTTGGTCCTAATCTTATTTAACAGTGTTCTTTTACATTATGGAAATTTATATTTAAAATACTTTTTAAAGATTTTTGAGCCTAATGTCTTACAGAGACTCCATATATCTGGAGACCTTGTTTCTTTTCAACTTAATTTCCTTTTATTAAAATGGAAAAATTCCCAGGAAGCAAATGAAAATATTTACTGAATAAATATTATATTACTCAAAAAGATAAGGATTTTAGAGTTTTTAATGTGTGATGTTTGGTTATATATGAAATATAGATTTGAATTTTAATGTATTATAAAGTATTTATCTAACAAATTCAAAGTACTTACTATAAACTAGGTCCTGTTCTATGCACATAACAAAACTTAACTCATTTCACATTCATAACAACTCTATAAAGTAGTATTATGATCGTTATTTAATCTGTGAACAAAACTGAAGCAAGAAAGCGAGACCGGGACCAGCATTTGGCGTAATGGCTATGTTGCTGGACTCCCATGTAGTTGACTGCGGTTCAAGTCTCAGACCGGGTGGCTTAAACTCATACCAGGTGTGTGTGCATGCATGCCCAAGATCCCAAGAGGAAATGGAGAAGGACTTGTGCCTGGCGTGACTTCTCACTTTCTGTCTCTCTGTCTCTCTCTGTCTTTCTGCACACACCCTATAGTAAAAACCTTTCCAAAAAAAAGAAAGTGGGAAGCGGGACCAGCAGATGGCATAATGGTTACGTCGCTGGATGTACACATAGTTGACAATGGGTTGAGTTCCAGACCCAGTGGCTAAAAACTCATGCTGGTGCATGCTTCCCCCAGGAGGAGAAGGAATTGCAACATGGCCATCCCCACTGGGGGGTGATTTCTCATTTTCTGTCTCTCTGTTTCTCTGGTGAGTGCACAAACATGCCCTATAACAAAAATCTCTCTTAGAAAAAAAAAGTTTACGTGAAGTGTCCAAGGTCACACGCCTAACTATATACATCCACTATGGTTACTACTGGCACACATGTTGTTTGAGTTAGACCAGTTATAACAGTAATAACCCTTTCTGAATTTTGAGTTTTCTTTCTTGTATAATTGTATATTTATCTTGATAAGTGGAAAGAGCATGAAGGAACTTTAAAAAGTTTGAGAAAATAAAATTAAAAGTCTAAGTTTATTTGGTGCCAGAAAAAGTTTAAATTTCATTCATAGCTTTTACATAAGCATAATATATACTGTCCATGAGTTTTTTGAGGACCCTTCATATTTTGTTGCCAAGAATAAATGGTATTGGCAAAAGATAATTTAATGTGAATGTAGGCCTAGTGTTCATGGTAAAAACACCTTTTACAAGTTAAGAGACCTTTATCTTAAAAAAGGTAAAAGTAATTTATCTTATCAATATAATCTGTGAAAATATGAATTTTCTCCAATGCACATTTGACCCAGCAATATGATTACAAAGGCTTTATTATGGAAAAAAAATTAATTTCAACATTTCCCCAATCCATTCAAGTTATACTTTGGAAAAATCCATCAGTAAAAATCCTTGCTAATTTTCTCTTTTTCAATAGCATCCTGATCTAACTCTACTAGATCTTTGTTTTATCGTTATTATCATCTTTTAGTTTGCTACACGATGCATGTGATCATTGGAGAGAGAGAGAAAGAAAGTAGAAAATCACTCCCTCGTCTTGTGATTTTGGGCATATGCATCCAGTATGTTTTTCAAGCCACCAGGTCTGGGGCTGGAACTGTTTAGTCAGCCATGTAGGGATCCAGCTGCCTTAACCTCTACACCATTGTTGGCCCCAGATCTTTGTTTTTAAGGGTTCACAATTCTGACATCAATTTGGAAGGGATGTGTCTTGTATTTGTGCCTTCATATCACCAGACCAATATAAAATAAGTTGGTACCATAATAACGTGATAGGCACAGGCAGATGCTAGTGATAATATTAAGTAGGATTTTTCATTGAAAGTTCATTTTATAAGGGGGCCAGTTCATCAGTGAATATTTTGAAATTATACAACTTTTTTTTTAACATACTCTAAACTGTGCAGATTGGAAAAACAAAAAGAGTAGAATTTAAAGACTTTTTCTTTCACTTTAAGGTAAATGACTCACTTTATGTATGGGTAGTAGTATGCATATTTGTGAGTTAGTACTTTTCCTACATGTGTCTGCAAAAGTCTGTGGAAAAGCATGGAACTCTTACGTGATATGACATGGTCCATGTACTGAGGTAAATAAGGAGCCCAGGCATCTATGGCTTCCTTCCGGCCTGCCTGCTCAATTCTTCTCAGCTCTGCTAGAAGGAGGGCTTGTGCAGCTTCTCTTACCTAAGGGCACAGAATCGGGTGTAGAAAGAGAATGAAGATTAATTCATGAGGTGGATATATGCTAGAAAGTTAATAATACAATAAAACTAGATGATGAAAGCTACTAAACAAATAAGTAGTTAAAGTGGAATAAATGAAATATTAGCAAATCAAAGAAATCTTAATGACTGCATTGAAAAATATTTTAACACTAATGGAAAAAACAATTAAATGTAAGAACATTTAATTGGCTTTGAATTTATAACATTGTTTTCAAAAATATTCTTCCACCTTGGCGTGAGTTTAAGCCACCAGGTCTAGGACTCGAACCACAGTCGGCTACATGTGAGTACAACGACATAGCCATTATGCCAACTGCTACTCCTGATTCTTCCATTTTAATATAGCATTTTTAATCTTAAGATTTCCAGGGAACCAGCAGTTAGCGTAATGGCTATGTCGCTGGACTCCCACGTAGTCGACCACGGTTCATGTCCCGGACCCGGTGGCTTAAAACTCACGCCGGGCGCGTGTGCGTGCGTGCCCAAGATCCCGAGAGGAAAATGGAGGAGAAGGGATTGCGGCGTGACCATCCCCCCTGGGGGGTGATTTCTCGCTTTCTGTCTCTATGTCTCTGTCTGTCTGGCGAGCGCACGCGCCCTACAGTGAAAATCTCTACAAAAAAAAAAAAAAAGATTTCCATATAAGTATTAATGTTAAAAGTCACTGTTAGAAACTGTTAAATTTATTTTCTTTTAGTCAAAGAAATTTAATCTTATCTAGTAAATTATATTATAAATGCTAAATAGGCACTGTTTGTACAAATAGGTTTGAATACACATAATTCATGCATACCTAAAACATGCTTAAATGATTGTTTCCAACAATGAGGAAAATATGATTCTGTGTAGTGACATAATCTCCTTTAGTTTGGTAAAGAAAATAATTTATCAAAATCGTATCAATTTTTCTTTCAATGTGGTATACAACTTTTATTTTACATTTTTGTTTTGCTTTGTTAAAAATACCACTGGCAATTGGTCAAAGAAGTGCTAACCATTATTTGTGATGTACCAATCAATTTATTAACTACTGAGTCATTGGAAAAGCCATGACACGTTTTTGCATATGAAAACATAAAAAAAAAAAAAACACGCCATGACTTTTCCAATGACCCAGTATTTCTAATTAAAAACATGGCAGCATCTGAATAAGAGTTCAAGTAAAAAAGCTGTTTTTAAACATATAGTTGATTTTTGTTTTCCTTTATAGGAGAAACAGAGAGAAACAAAGATGAAAACATAAAAAAAAAAAAACACGCCATGACTTTTCCAATGACCCAGTATTTCTAATTAAAAACATGGCAGCATCTGAATAAGAGTTCAAGTAAAAAAGCTGTTTTTAAACATATAGTTGATTTTTGTTTTCCTTTATAGGAGAAACAGAGAGAAACAAAGATATATACTGATATTTGTTGACAGGGTCTCTTTGCATCATTATCCCCCTGCCGTAGCTTCTTGATTAGCTAGGATTTATAGGCATGCACAACTGTATCTGACATGTTCAGGCTGGCCCAGGGACAGAACCCAGGCCTCCAATGTGGCTTCCAGGCTCCCATGCAGTGGCACAATCTGTAGACCATCACAGCTTGGCCAGTACAGTATCTTCTGAAGTGAATTCAAATCTTCCTAAATGCAAATCCATAAAAGTGTTTGTACGCTGCCATCCTACTTGGAGTTGAAGAAAGGGAGACCAGGAAAGGGGCAAATGTTGTTCATATTTGGAAAATTAAAAGTCCTCAATGATACAAACTACTGCTGCCATGCTGGACAAATACCATTATAAGGAAAATTTCTAGAAAACATTTCTTAGTCCCTGATGATATTAAATTCCAAGTAATACCTAATATAGTAATATCTAATTATTAACACAAAATAATGGCTGCCATTTATTGAGCTCCTACCATGTGTTGGGCTCTGTACCTACTGCTTTACTTGCATTATTGTATTTGATTGTGACAGCAATCCTATGGGGAATATACTATTATCCATACTTTGTATGTGAGCTTCAGAGGGGTTAGGTAAATGGCCCAGGATCACAAAAGTAATCATTGGTCAGACTGATTTTTAAATCCATGTCTTGAGCATGCAGATGATTTAGAGGTTATATCACTGGATTCCCACATGGCCAACCGTGGTTCGAGTCCTGTACCCCAGTGACTGAAACCCACACTGGACATATGAGCATGTGTACCGAAGATCCTGGGAGGAAAGTGGAGAAGGGATTGTGGCATGGCAATCCTCCCCTAGGGAGTGATTTCTCATGTTCCCTCTCAATGTCTCTGTCTCTCTCTCTCTGGTGATTACATGTGCCCTAAGGCAAAAATCTCTACAAAAAAAAAATTAGGCCCACATCTCTTCTAATTCCAAAGACTTCCTCCTTCTGCTATCCAAAGCATCTTTCAATGGACTTTGGCTATTTACTTAGAATTCAATTCACGTGATTATACTGAGTATGCTATTTTTGGGATAGGTGGGTAAATATGTTCATGCATGTGTGTGTGTGACTGCATAATGAACCAAAACCTAAGAAACAGTTTCATAAAGCATATGAAACTTTTTATCAAATAGTCACTGGATTAAAAATAATAATAACTGAGGCTGGCCCAGTGGGTTAAGGCAGCCTTGATCCCACATGGCGACCTCAGTTCAAGTCCCAGACCTGGAGACTTAGGAAACATGCCAGGCGCCTGTGTGTGTGTGCCAAAATCCCCACAAAAGGGAGAGATGGAAGAGAAGGATTGCAATATGACTACTTCCCAACGTGTTTTACCCTCTCCCTCTGTCTCTGGTGAACACACATGCCCCCAAATAATAACAATAATAATAACAAATGAATAAATAAGCTGCAACATTACTAAAACTGAAAAAGAAAAATATGGAAATCATGAATCCATATTTTCTACCACATAATAAATTAGATATATATTAACCATTTTTGTTCCAAACCTACATTTGATCAATGCATTTTTAATATTTTTGCTTTCTATCCTTATCACCTAGACATTACCTCCAGGCATCGATCTTGCCATCTCCGAGCCAGCATCTCTAGAAGGGGAGGCCTAAACTTATCCAATCCCAGCAGGTCTGGCAACATGACGCAATGCATAGCAGCCAACTGACTCCATCCTGTTAAAATGTAACACATTATGACTCCTTTAAACATTTTGGCATTCCCTAAGTCAAAAGTTTTTCATTATGTAAGTATACCAAAAACAAACAAAAAAGATAGATGCACTAAATTGTTACAAATGATTTCAATTTAATATAAGATGTTTTGCGCAAAGAACTATACCAAATGTAGTCCTAAATCATGTATTTGGGATCTTTAAGAACTCTAAATTCTACATAAAATATATCTGCATTCACAAGGAAAATACATTTCTCCAAAGTCCCTCTAAAATGAAACAGGTATTAAGGATAAGAAAGCATAGAAATAAATGCACTAGAGCTGTCCACTTAAAACCAGTGCAGTTAAAAGGGCATTCACACAGATAGCCAAAGATAAGCTCTTGACACTTAAGACATCGCCACCTGCGTGTTGCCACTGTATCAGTCCAACGGATGTGTTTAATCCTGTCAGAGGGCCTTTAGGGAAGGTATTTATTGAGCATTTTGCTTACAAAATGAATCAGATATTTCACAACAGTCACAACAGAAATAAGTAACATCACACTAATTTTGAGAGGAAAAATTAATTTAGACATTCCACAAAATAAAAACCTGACAATCCAAAATTTACAACGTTTTAAACATAATTAACTTTAATGTATGGTAATAAAAGTTACTTTTTCTAAAATTGTAGTTGACAATATGAAACTTGACTATATGAAAAAGGCAAACACTATATCCCTATAATATTTGCAGTAGTATACAGTCTCAATCTTTTCAACCCTATTTTGAAGGTATCTGAAAAACATACACACAATGAATGTCATATTCTTCCCAAATTATGTATGAGACCATTATTAATCTACAATGAGTACAGTCACCTCCTGGGAATAACATTTAAGGACAAATAATCAAAAACAGATTAAAAAAAAAAACACAAAAAAAACTCCACCACCATATTACAAGGTGAGTTATCTATAAACATAGGATAATAAATTAATGTTTTAAAATAATCTAAAACTGTCTAAAATAATGACAAAAAGCCTATCTTACAAGTTAAAATAATCACTGAAATTGTTGAGAGAGAAAAAAAGAACAGATACAAACAAACCACCTATCTAAAGATTCACAGTTTCAATAAGGAAATTCTCACTGGTGATAATAAATGTGTAATTATACTAAGATGATGGGCACACACATTTCAGATGATAATTTATGACAGAGGAATATATATAACTGTGCATGTGTGTATATAGAAATTATTACTTTGTAATTTCTTAAAGTATTTTTATGTTTCATAGATTTATAAAATGTATTTATGAGTTAAGTTTTAATATAATGAGGATTTTGTTTCTTTTTTTTTTTTTTTTTTTGAGAAGTTTTTGCTATAGGGTGCATGCGCTTGCCAAAAAGACCAAGAGACAGAGACAGACAGAAAGTGAGAAATCACCCCCCAGGGGGGATGGCCACGCCATAATCCCTTCTCCTCCATTCTCCTCTTGGGATCTTGGACACACATGCACTCACATGTACCTGGCGTGAGTTTAAGCCACCAAGTCTGGGACTCGAACCACAGTCGACTACATGGGAGTCCAGTGACGTAGCCACTATGCCATCTGCTGGCCCCAATAGTGAGGATTTTCTAAGGTCTGAAGTCTAACAGCTCATTTTTTAATAAATGACTATCTTTCACCATAGCTTAATAAATATAGCCTTAATCATTTTGTCACAGTCTTAATACACAAATCTTACTACAATTCTATAACTAGTAAACCAATCAAGAACTGAAGTTACACTTTTATGTCTCCATGTTTTCTGTCCAAAGGAGTAGTCTTTGCTACATAGGCTCTGTATTTCATAGGTATTGCAACATTTCTTCCATTTGAATGGACTTATGATATTTTACATTTTAGTAAAGAGTAAAAATCATTCTGAGTTTAGATTTTATAAATTTCCTCCTTTTCATATTATACAAACTGGTAAAGATCAAAACCACAGCAATGACAGTGAACAGAACTGAGCTCACACTTCCATTAAATTTCCAGGCAGTATAAATAATCCTACATGAGTCTTGTGGAATAAAGGTTTGTAGACCCCACTCCCATTTTCAGAGCTCCAAAAATACTTTACACGTATGAAACTCCACAAGGAATAAAAAGGCACCTAACCAACCATGTTTTAAAAATTGAACATTAAGGATTTTTACCTCTGCCTGAAATGGAAATAGTAAGGATAATAAACAATTGAATTCCTATCAGTTTATAATCACTACTGCTGATCCTCAATCTGAAGACTTTTCAAATACAAATGTAAATTAAGAGACTCACTTACATAACCTCTAACCAAAGCACACATCTGTATTCATAAAACCAAGTATGTATGTCACAGAGTAATGGTATATATAAAATAAACTCCTTAGTTCTAATCTCAGAGATCATGTGGAGAACACCATTATGAAAACAAATCTGCCTTTTAGCACTAACGTCACATCAAAGATTGTTCTTTTTTAATAGCACTCTAGTTTATAGAAAAACATGGTTCATATCACCCAGAGTGGCATTACATTTTTATAACTGGCGCTTGTCATTGACATTAGCAAAAAAAGTTATAAAATGGGAACTTTGGGCTCTCATATATAACAAAGCAGATGAATGTATAAATCAGGTAAAAAAAAGAACTTGTCTACTAGAATAAAGCTTAGGTTGAAAGAGAGTTGTTAGAAAGTTGAGAGAGAATACCTTCATTTACTAAGAAACAGGTATGTAAAGCAGGAGTGGAAGCGGGGTCAGAGCCAGAGTGATCAGCCTCAGGCCGAACGGAAACGACAGGTGCAGCAACTTGCAGAGGAGAATAGAAGAAATAAAGAGGAGAGAAGTGAGGTACAGCGGTTTCTGGAAAAAAGCTCAGTATTAGTGAAGAATGAAAAACAAAGTTGGCAAAAATATAGAGAACGCAGAACTAAAAAATGATGTTTTAATCAGAAGGGCATGATCATTAAAGATTATAGCGGGGAATAGGCATATTCTATTGAACACCAATTACGATATTGTTCAAATTCCTGTTAAAGTCAAAATCCACTTAATATAACAGAAAAATGATTTGTCAACTAATGTGAAGGTTCTAAAACAACCAAGGCAGTAATGAAAAAATAACAACATATTAAGAATAAACAAGACTATAATTCAATTTTTAAAATGTATCACATAATTAAAAAGTTTGCTGGTCCTCATATTGCCAATTACATTTCTCTAATAATACATTCTCTCCATTTTGTGTAGTTATTTTTAAATCTTAAACCAGTGTTTGCAGATAATTTCCATTTTCTAAATTCATTTTACACTCAACTTCAAATATATTGACTTATAAAGAATATATATATATATGTACATATATATATAATACTTAAGTCATGTTAGAATAAAGAAACAGATTCATTCATTAGAGTTAAAATATTTTTATGATACAATTGCTTTATACACTAAATGTAATTATTGTGCATTTTATAATTTTTATATAGAGTAAATGCACCACCCTCCACGTCTCCCAAAAAAAGTTACATTGCCAGGAAAATGCTTCAGTTTAAATTATCATATGAAAAAGCAAAAGGACCGTATGGCACACACATTCTACAACTGGAGGTCAGTGTTAAGATTTAGAGGTCACCATTTGACACTTCCTTCCTATGGAGAAATTACCATATGTCATGCACAAGCATCTTCAAATTAATCCCTCTCCTTTCTTCTGTCATTGAACAGCAATAGGTTTGGGCTCCTGAACAGATTAAGCATTGTCCGCTGAATGATATGTTTGCTTTTCATGCAGTGAAGTTCTTTTGTGACGATAGGACAGCTGCATGAAAACAACTTTTTCATAATTTCCACACGAATGCATCATAATGTCAGCTAGGCACGTGTGAGGTAAACAGTGGAACTAAAAGTAATCCATAAGCAGTAACAAAAAAAAAATCTAATTTTGTCAATACTGAGAAGAACATGTTACATACATGAAAGTTTTATCTGGGAAATTATAATTATTTTTTATTATAAGAGACCTGGGATTTTTTTGTTCCTTATGAAATTACAATTATCTTATAATTTTATACTGAGAAATAGAGCTGCATTTAATTTTATATTTCATAAGCTCTAAGAGCTCCATTATAAAGTATTCTCACCAAGAAAGCTCAAATATTTCTATATTCAATTGAATAATTTTGTTCATTTCTTATCATTTTAAATTACAAATTTAGTCATTATGACCTATAAAATATTCACCCCCTCCATGCAAAAAGTGGGTGAGCCTTGATAGTGAGGAGCAAATTTTGAGGTTTTAGCTATCATGCCACCAAAATGTGGAGAAGGTTTTTCTAGTGGTTTCTAATAGTTGGAACATTCTATAATTTTACCTTTTTGAAATAGGAAGATGTTATTAGTCCTGGAAATACTGTGTTGATTACATGTAATTTTTACACTTAACCCTGTAAGCACACTAGAATCAGATGGTAAGGAAACTGAATGTAAATGAATAGAAGTTTAGAACTCAGTGATCATTACCTTAGTAAGTCAAATAGGTGGTGGGATTAAGCCATAATATATTCTGTAAAGCACAAGTGTAACAGAAAACTAGAAGAGGTACTGGCAGATCTGATATATTAAGTATAACACATCTTAATAGAACAATTGTCAACATATATAATCACTTTCAATGAGAGAAAAACAAAAATTCTGGTATTACATTTTTGGAGTGATGTTTAAATAATACTTCATACTTTTAAAAAGGCATTTATATCTGCCTTTTAATAAATTCTGTAGGCATGAACAATCAAGAAAAACTATAATAGAAGTCAAAGAATCATATTTACTATGCTTTATAAACCTGAACATCACCACTAGTAAATACTCTATTCACAGTATTTGATAACTGAAATGGCAGAATCTAGAACCACTTTCAGAATTTGCTGAGAAATTAAACTCTGCTAAAGCTTTAACAACTGTCCACATATAGAAAAACCAGCAACAGAAATGAAAAGAAAAACATACTACTTCAAAAGAGAAGCTCAAGCATTAATGATAAATAATAAATCTAAAAAGTTATATGTGACACCTATCAAAGATTTACATCATAAAAAACAACTAAGCATTTGATCTCTTAAAACAAAAAAGTTGCTAGATCACTTATCAATTCGCTTTTCTTTTTAAGGATTAGCAAAACATAAAGAAAAACAGTTTAAGCACAACTTCAAAAAGGTGACAGAACTGACACAAAGTCTATTGTGTGGGAGGGTCATTTAAGTAATTTTGCAACTCAGAGCCCCTTTAACTGCTTACTCTCACATGGAAAGACAAAGGAAGACAAACTCCTGTGATAACGTACGTATACAAACATTCACTGTTTCTATTTCTCTCAGGTGTATTTCAATCTTCATTTGAAATTTTATTCTACACTTCATTTTCCCTACTGCCACTGCGATATTAAAAATGTACAGGCAATAAAGGACAGAAAATTAACATACTTGGGATTGGGTAGCAAGTGCCCTGTATATATTACTTTAAATCTCATTAGCTTCCCAGTACAAAAACACAGATAGCCCTTTCAAACATTATTCAGAGTAAAAAATGAAGATATCTTAGAGTAACATCACCTTTCTTTTTTTTTTTTTTTTTTTTTTTTTTTAAGAGGGGGCGTGCGCTAGCCAGACAGAGAGAGACAGACAGAAAGCGAGAAATCACCCACAAGGGGATGGCCACACCACAATCCCTTCTCCTCCTTTCTCCTCTCGGGATCTTGGACACGCACACACACGCGTCTGGCTTGAGTTTTAAGTCACCGGGTCCAGGACGTGAACCACGGTCAACTACGTGGGAGTCCAGTGACATGGCCATTAAGCTAACTGCTGGTCGCAGAGTAACATCACCTTTCTACAAGCTTCCTTTATGTCTATATGCTTATGTGTTAGGTAGATGGACATTAAATCAACATGAAGTATTAGAATAAATTATTAATTCAGCCTTCATTACTTCTTTTCCATTTTGGGGGGAAGGTAGTTTATGTTAAACTGCAATGATCTTTTTTACTCTGCTGTGGTACATTCCACAACTTACATTACTCTTTGCATGCATTCTTGTATCTGTTAATCATTTTCTCCTGATGCCCCCACACCCAACCTCATGCAGCTTCTGGTATCTATCATTACTCTCTCTATTGATAAGCTATTGAGTCCCTCAGTTTCCACTACAGAGTGCAGACATTCAGTATATGTTAAAATGGGAGCACGTAGCATTGTTTTTTTGTGTTTTGTTTTGTTTTGTTTCGTTTTAGTTATTTTATAGGGACATGACATGCACTTGCCTGAGAGAGACAGAAGGAGACAGGGAAACTGAAAACTCATACTCAACCCCCAGGGGAACGACCACACCACAATCCCTTCTCCTACATTCTCCTTTTGAGATTTTTTTGAGAGATGTTTGCTATAGGGCACATGTACTCGCCAGAGAGACAGACAGAGAAAGTGAGACACCATCCTCTCCTCCCTCCCCCCCCCACCACCCGGGGGGATGGCCATGCCATAATTCCTTCTCCTCTCGGGATTCTGGGCAGGCATGCACATGTTCCTGGTGCGAATTTCAAGCCACTGGGTCCAGGACTAGAACTGCGGTTAGCCATGTGGGAGTCCAGCATCCCAACCACTATGCCACATGCTGGCCCATCTTCTCTCTGGATTTTGGGAATGCACACACACACACACACATCTCTGGCATGATTTTCAAGTTGGCTGGGTCCAGGACTTGAACCATGGTAGACCATGTGGGAGTCCAGCAACTTAACCACCATACCACCTGCTGGCCCACCCACAAATAATTAAGATTATTACTATATAAATACTGATTAAGGTTGACCCAAGTAACTTACTAAGTTCACATTTCTTTTTTTGGAAACCTGTTGCTTTTTTCTGACTTTAAACATTTTTATTTTGGGGGGGGCAGCATGTGACATGGAGTTAAGGCACTGAACTCCCATGTGATTGACCGTGGTTCAAGTCCTGGACCCAGTGACTTAAAATTCACACCAGACACTTGTGTGCATGTATGCCCAAAATTTAGAGAGGAAAATGGAAGAGCTGAGATTGAGACAAAGACATCCCCCTGAGGGATGATTTCTTACTTTCCCTCTCTCTGTCTCTGGCAAGTTCACGTGCCACTATGGCAAAAACAAAGAGATAGGCATTATCAGAAACTACACTTCTCTGGATTGCCTCCAATAGACACAAGCTCCTTGAGGGCAGTGCTCTGAGCCTTTATAGACTCAGCACCTAGTTACTGACCTACTGACTAAAGAGAGGGTGCTTACAGGTTAATTCTTTCAGTATTTACTGAGCTTATTTTATGTATCAGCCACCATTCCAAGCATTTGCAATGAAGAGTGAACTAAATTGGAAACAATGTCCCTGCCCTTTAAGTTTCCACAGCAAATCAAACTTATAAGCCAACCAAAAAGAGAAAGGTACATAAACTTAAACACAAAAATTTAAGGGATTTTCAGGTCCATTCATTGACCTGACATATATTAATACATTCCAGGTTAAGTACGGATTTTTTCTGTTATAGACCTTGGGAAAGGATAATAATGAACAATTAATTGATGTAAATATTAAATCACTGAGCTAATTTAACAATGACTACCTCTTATTTCTCAGTATAGACAATCTAAATTGAACTCATTTCTAAAAAATAAATGTTGCAAAGAACGTAACATAACCTTAAATCTTGAGGTAGCTTAGGCTTGCTTGAGCAACTCCCATCACCTTAAATCTATGAGAAGCTTTGACTCACAGTGCTGTAACTACTGAACATAAAGCCATGGTTACAATCCAGACAAGCACTACAGACACAAACGAGAGACTCCGGCTCTGAGGTTAGTGAAAGTGATTAGAGAGAAGCACAGTAGGGCAGAATACAGAAAAGGCTGAAGCCACGAGCAGATTTCAGCCTGTGTTGTTGTGACAAAAATTTTGTTACTCGACATCTCTAATCCCTTTTTCAAGTAGGATGCTTCATAAACCACAAAATCAAATATTTTATAAATAAATACCGTTTCTATCAAAAAAGTAGATGACTGACTATAAATGGTTTTGATGAACACTAATCTAATGAGTTTGTGTTAGACAAAATAAGCCTCTTATAAATAATTTATTTTTCAATGAAATGTCCCAGCATTTTTTATGGAAAATTATATAAGCTCAATTATCAATATCACCTTTATTCCCAAATTCTAATGTCTATGAAAGGGGGATGGCCACGCCACAATCCCTTCTCTTTCATTCTCCTCTCAGGACCTTGGGCACACACACACACATGCCCGGCGTGAGTTTAAGCCACTGAATTCAGGACTCAACCGCGGTCAGCTACATGGGAGTCCAGTGGACATAGCCATAACACCAACTGCTGGTTCCCTAAACAGGTGTTTTTTTTGTTTTGTTTTGTTTTTTTGTTTGTTTTTTTTTAATGTTCACGCTATCTTCTAGTTGAACATAAACTACTTAAGAGACTATACATCAGACTAATTGCTGTAACTTACCAAAACAGAGCTGTCAGGAAGTAAAAGTACTTAACAAATAGTGTTGAAGAAATAATTACATCATATATTCTTTTCGATATAAAATATAAAGTGAGTTTCATAATGCCATAGAAAAGTGGATGAGAAATGCAAGTATATGGGAACCAGCAGTTAGCTTAATGGCTATGTTGCTGGACTCCCACGTAGTTGACCGCAGTTCGCATCCCAGACCCGGTGGTTTAAAACTCACGCCGGGAGCGTGTGTGTGCGTTCCCAAGATCCCGAGAGGAGAAAGGAGGAGAAGGGATTGCAACATGACCATCCCCCCTGGGGGGTGATTTCTCGCTTTCTGTCTCTATGTCTCTTTTTGTCTGTCTGGGGAGTGCATGCGCCCTAAAGAAAAAACCTCTCCAAAAAAAAAAAAAATGCAAGTATTATTATTATTATAAGGTTTTCATATTAAATGCTAAATACTATAATGCTTGAGTATAAACTGTGATAAGTTAAAGAAACTATAAATGATAAACTTAGACTGGACACAAAATATTAATCATGACTAAGAATATTGATACATTAGATTCCACTAAAATTTAAAAATACTAAATTTCAAAAACAAGAGTGGAAGGAGAAAAATATTTGCAACACATATAACAAAGGTTTATATCAAGAATAGTGTGGGATACCTACAAAACTATTTTTTTTAAAAGAAAAACTAATAGAAAAATAAGCAGGAGTTGGACAAGTACTTCATAGAAAAGACATAGAAATGGGTGGTAAACACACAAAAAATGTTCAACTCAGTAGTATTAGGGAATGCAAATTAAACAGATAAAGTCTATCACAACCACACTCATCAAAAGGCTAAAGTGAAAAAAATGGAATATAATAGTGGGTGCTGGCTACTATGTCTCACCAGTTGTGTGTAAGAGTTCTCATTACTCCACATCATAGCCAACACTTAATATTTTCTACCTTTTTCATGTGGGCCATTTTGGTGAACATATATTATCAGTCCGTCACTTAGAAAAACATTTCAATATTATCTACTAAAACTGAAGATGTGAACATATCCAGAAATCTCACTCTTAATTGCATACATAACAAAAATAATGCACCCTAAGATTAAAATTCAAGAATAGCAGAATTATTTATGAAAATTAGAGGACATAATTCAAGTGTCTATCAAGAGAGTAAAAATGAATGAGTCAATTGTGATCTATTCAACAGAATACTGTAAAGCAATGAAAATGAACAAACCATAGTTAAACGCCCTCATAAGTCTCATAAAAGAAGCCAAACACAAAGGAATACATGCTGATGGAATTTATATAAAAAGCAAAAGACAGACAAAACCAAACAAAAGAATTTAGGAATTTAAACTTAGAGGATACATTTATTTTTAAAAAAGAAAAGCAAGGAAGTAACTTCATGAAAGCAATTATTTTTTTAAGGGGAAGGCATAATGACTGAAAGGGAACATGTAAGGTGCTTCTGAAGTGCTAGCAATGTTCTATTCCTTGTCCAAGGATATAGTTACAAGGGTTTTCAGCTGATAAAAATTACCTAAAATTTTGTTTTGTGCACTTTTCTACACATGTATTTCATACACGCTTGAATACTGAAAGTTATGTAACCAAACTATTACTTAACTTTTATGTATTAGGTCATCGGAAAAGTCACGACTTATTTTTCTGTGCAAAAATGTGTCATAAGTTTTGCAATGACCTGATAGTTTAAACGATTAAACTGCGAGACAGGGAAAGGAGAAGAGTGACCATGTGAAGTTGGAAAGGAAAACTGGAAATGACATAGAGAGTTTGAGGGCTTATCTTCCATACTAAGAACCCACAGTGTTCTGACACTCGGTATCAGGCACACCATTTAAAGATGCTCAAGTAAGTACAAAATAATCAGTTAGGGAGATCAAAGTACTTGTCCTAGGGAAGGAGAAAATTGGAGACACAAAGGTGAGAGCTAATGCTTATTTAACAAACTTTGTATACTCTCTGTGATCCTTTTAAACTAAAACAAAACAAAACAAAAACTTAAAGGAGTCTGAAAGGAGTAAAGGAAACTTGAAGATGTCAACCATTTATAAGCAGAACCTTCATGATCCCATCTCTTGCTTTCTTATTTCTCTCTATCATGTCCGGTGAGAGTCAGCATTAACTCTTGGCCTAAGGGAAAGCTCTCTAATCAGAAGAGACTCCTCAACTCTTTCAAACTTTTTTTAAAAATTTGCCAGAGGGTGTGCGAACTCACTGGAGAGAGACAGAGAAAGAGAAACAGAATGCAAGAAAACACCCCACCATAGGGGATGGTCTCGCTGCAATCCCTTCTCCTCCATTCCTCCCTCCTTTAGGGATTTTGGGCATGTGTTTTCAAGCCAGGGGTCAGACGTGAATCATGTGGATGGCCATGTGGGATCCAGCAGCCTTAATCACCATGCCACCTTCTGGCTTACATCTGTCAGTCTTAAAGGGAATGTAAAATATACACTCAGGATATCTGTATTTATTAATTATATTGAAGAGTGTATGGAAATAATAAAGGAATAAAACAGAGAGCTTTAACCCTTCTTCTCTACTATCCTCTAATGAAAAACAAAACTATAGATGAAAGTTAAGTAAAATACTTATTTAAATCCAAAAGAAAGAGATTTTAAAAAAGAATAATTTAACAAGGATTTCTACTTATGAATCACAATGCATAAACTACGGCAAATTAGCTACATGGAGTATGGAACTATAAATTAAAACATTCTTAAATGTAGTTTAAAAATAGGTATAACTATTAAACTCAAGATATACACAAGTAAAACACAAGCATTGTCAAGTTAAGGTGCCCCTAATGCATAAAAATTGGGCCAAAGATAGTACAATAAAATTACATGAAACATGCTCATTTGTCAATTTCTAAATAAATCTGATTTATTTTTAACTGACATCTTAATTATCTATATTTACATCTGGAATATAACAATATTTCTCTCTTTTAACAATCTAAGACAAATAAATGTTATGATTATACATTAGCTATGCCTCCTTAGTTTTGAGAGTTGAAATGCCACATCAATTACTTAATAAGATTTAATTTTACCTTGTTTAATCTGTCCTTGCACAACATTACTGGAAGTTGGAGGAGAACCCCTGGCCTTTGAAAGGTCTGGGGTGCTTGGTCGAGGTGGCCTTAAAAGAGAAGGAAAAAAATGAATATATTTTTTCGCATTGTTGTTTTTCTAGAACTATTTAAAATATTAAATTTCCTTGTTTCAAAAGAAATGCATACAGAACATTTTCAACTTACTGTTTTAAAGTGTTTCTATACCCATTAATATTTTCTATTTTAAAATGGTAAGGACCAGCAGATAGTATAATGGTTATGTCACTGAACTCCCAGGTAGTCGACTGCAGTTCAAGTCCCAGACCCAGAGGCTTAAAACTCACACAGGGCGTGTGTGCGTGCGTTCCTAAGATCCAGAGAGTAGAATGAAGAAGGGATTGTGGAATGGCCATCCTCCCTGGAGAATGATTTCTCACTTTCTCTCTCTCTGTCTCTCTCTCTGGCAAGCACATGCACCCTATAACAAAAATCTCTCTTAAAAAACCTTTTTTAATATGGTAAAATAAATGATTAGCAAGTAATGTGCAAAAATTTTACAATTTATGCTATGTATTTTAAAAATTTATAAATACTCAATGTACTGTCACTGGAAATTAAATATCGTACTTACTTATTCTTTCTTCAGTATTAGCATGCTGGGATTTTAACCTAACCATATGTTTTGAGCCATATAAATTCAAGGAATAATACATTGTTCTCTTTACCCTAAAAGGGTTCAAAAACCACTAAAAAATTATGGACCATAGAGAAGGACTCAGTTTAAATTTATCTACCATTTAACAAACTGTGTGACCTTGGGCAAGTTATTTTACTTCTCTGTGTCTTGGTGGGTTTTTTGTTTGTTTGTTTCATTTTTAGGTGTTTTTTTGTTTTGTTTTGTTTTTTCTCATAGGGCTTGTGTGCTCTCCAGAGAGAGAGAGAGAGAGAGAGAGAGAAAGTGAGAAATCTCCCCCTCCCAGGAACCAGCAGTTAGCGTAATGGCTATGTCGCTGGACTCCCACGTAGTCGACCGCGGTTCGCGTCTTGGACCTGGTGGCTTAAATCTCACGCCGGGCGCGTGTGCGTGCGTGCCCAAGATCCTGAGAGGAGAATGGAGGAGAGGGGATTGCGGCGTGACCATCCCCCCTGGGGGGTAATTTCTCACTTTCTGTCTCTATGTCTCTCTCTGTCTGGCGAGCGCACGCGCCCTATAGCGAAAACCTCTCCAAAAAAAAAAAAAAAAAATCTCCCCCTCCCGACCCCCAGGGGTGACGGCCACAGCACAATCCCTTCTCCATTTCTCCATTTTCCTCTGAGGATTTTGGGCATGTGCACACCTGTGCCCAGCATGATTCTCAAGTCACCAGGTTCAGGACTGGAATTGCAGTCGACCATGTGGGAGTCCAGCACCTTAACCACTACACCACCTGCTGGTCCCCTGTGTCTTGGTTTTATATGTAATAAAAAGATATTAAAAGTACCTACCTTATAAGGTCAAGAGCATTAATAAGTTTTTAGCTAGTGCTTACAAAAGAGCCTAATACAAAGGAAGTGTTACAGAAGTATTTGTTAGATTAAAATAAATTCATGATAATATTATATATTCAGTAGCACATATAATAAAAAATTGTCTTTATAACTTTTGGATAATAAAACATAGCAATTCAGATTAAGTGCTCCAGAAATACTAAAATAATATTCCCCTGAATTTTAAAATGCTGTTTTTTCTTTGCCTATTGAAACATTCTTACTATATTTCTCACAATATTCTGATGCCAATCATTAAACATATGTTGTTCACTGTATATGGGCCATAAGAAGCAGCAGCATTTTAACCAAATGTACTGGGTCATTGGAAAAGTCATGACATATTTTTCTATGTTTTCCTAGGCAAAATGTGACACAACTTTTCTGACGACCCTATACATTTTGAATTGTTAGTGCAAACTTCCAATAGATATATTTTTTTCTTGCTAGAGTATGTGTGCAGTCACACCACCAAGAGGAAAGTGCAATCGTGCTATAATCCTTCTCCTTCATTTCTCTCTCCTTTTTGGGACTTTGGGCATGCATACATGCACCCAGCATATTTCTATAGCTGCTGAATATGGAACTCCTACATGCAATCATCCCTGTAGGATCCAGCTGCCTTAACCACCAGGTCACAGAGCTAGCCCAGCTACATAACCAGATCTATCATTCCAAATTCTTTTTGTTTTTTTTTTTGTTTTTTTTGTTTGTTTGTTTTTTTACATAGCTACTAATTATATCTGCCTATATTAAAAATTGTATAATTTTATTGTTTTAAACCCGTCATTTTAGAGATCTATGTCTTAAAATTTACAGATGAGCTCTGATGTGGTAGGGCATGCTGGTTTATGCTGCTATTTGAGAGGCTCTGATCACGTGGGAGGTCTGGGTTCTGTTGCCAGCTCACCCTGAAAGCTAGGCACAGTGGTGCATGCCTGCAGTCCCAGTTATGTGGGAGGCTGAGGCAGGAGGACAGAGACATAGCACAACATGCTGAAAAAGAACTTAATGGGGAAAGACTAAGGTAATACTAAAACGTGTATAAAGCTAAAACAAAAACAAAAACAAACAAAAACAAGTAGTAGGCAATGACAAAAATAAAACAGGTTTCTTTTTTTGAAACTTAAGGAAAACATTAAACCATCATGGTCACACCTGGTAGGGCCCTTCTTCATATGGTCACCAATAAAAGTTGCATTGGTCATACTCATTAGAGTATTTGCCAAAGATATGATGGAGAGGAGGTGTTGGGTGGTGACAGCTCGCGACACTCCGTAAGTTCCCTTTCCTAATCCCTCGGTTGCTGGAAGCTTCCTTCCTACTTCTGCTTTTCCCTGTGAATGTTTACAAGCGGCTTGATTATAACCAGGAAGCATCAGTGACATATGGCCTCCTCTTGATAAGAGCCCAAAGGACACTGTGCAATGGGGCTTCAGCATTCCAAGGCGATCGAGACACACTTCATCCAGAACTTCATTCAAACCCCAGGCATGAAGACAGGACATGAACAGTTTTGCAGTGTCCATGGTTAAATTGTATTCTAATAGAGTCAGTGGCTTAGACTTGCTGGCACGATATTCAGGATCACTTTCTTCCCTTCTTTGCCTCATTATCTCCTCATCCTCTTCTTCATCATCAAGGAGGTGCTCCTTTATGTTCTCTTTGATAGTTTCTTTCACTTGTTGGAAGAGAACTGCTGCTCGTTTTCCAGTTAGGAAAGAGCCCCCTTTGTCTGAACTGCCAGATGCTTTTTGCAAATTCTCTGGGGAAATAAGCGCAGTATTCGGCCTAGAGGCTTCTTCAGTCAGAAGTTGAATAATCAACGCTTCCACATCAAAGAAAAGCACATGTATGTCCGGATCTGTTAGGTTTGTCTTTATTGCTTGAACCATCAGGGAGTTGTGAGAATATTTAGGCAAATTCCCCTACAATAAATATTTGTAAAAGACTGTTATAATCAAAGATGTTTCATTTTCATTTCATTAGCGAATAACAAATACAGGAATTAAAATGCTTATTAAGCTATCATTTTATGAACTTCTATCATTAAAAGTAACATAGGACTTTGCCAATCAACATCATATAAAAGATAAGAGCTTGTACAATTAGAAGAACTTCATGCTGAAACAAGCACTAAATTGTCAATTAATTTAAAAAACTAAGACAAACATTTCATTGGCTAGAACCAGAGGGTCTTCTTCCTAATAATACAGAGAAAAATTTGCTTCAATAACTTAGAAGCAGATTCTATCTCAGAGAATGAGCATATTGTTCCACCTGAAAGAAAAATGCATTCATCACGACTACTAATCCTTCTGAGTTGTTGTACCATCGCATTCCTCCTTTTCCTATTTTACCTTCGATCTCCCCATGTCCAAAGATTCCTATCCCTTTTCTGATGCCAATCATTAAACATATGTTGTTCACTGTATATGGGCCATAAGAAGCAGCAGCATTTTAACCAAATGTACTGGGTCATTGGAAAAGTCATGACATATTTTTCTATGTTTTCCTAGGCAAAATGTGACACAACTTTTCTGACGACCCTATACATTTTGAATTGTTAGTGCAAACTTCCAATAGATATATTTTTTTCTTGCTAGAGTATGTGTGCAGTCACACCACCAAGAGGAAAGTGCAATCGTGCTATAATCCTTCTCCTTCATTTCTCTCTCCTTTTTGGGACTTTGGGCATGCATACATGCACCCAGCATATTTCTATAGCTGCTGAATATGGAACTCCTACATGCAATCATCCCTGTAGGATCCAGCTGCCTTAACCACCAGGTCACAGAGCTAGCCCAGCTACATAACCAGATCTATCATTCCAAATTCTTTTTGTTTTTTTTTTTGTTTTTTTTGTTTGTTTGTTTTTTTACATAGCTACTAATTATATCTGCCTATATTAAAAATTGTATAATTTTATTGTTTTAAACCCGTCATTTTAGAGATCTATGTCTTAAAATTTACAGATGAGCTCTGATGTGGTAGGGCATGCTGGTTTATGCTGCTATTTGAGAGGCTCTGATCACGTGGGAGGTCTGGGTTCTGTTGCCAGCTCACCCTGAAAGCTAGGCACAGTGGTGCATGCCTGCAGTCCCAGTTATGTGGGAGGCTGAGGCAGGAGGACAGAGACATAGCACAACATGCTGAAAAAGAACTTAATGGGGAAAGACTAAGGTAATACTAAAACGTGTATAAAGCTAAAACAAAAACAAAAACAAACAAAAACAAGTAGTAGGCAATGACAAAAATAAAACAGGTTTCTTTTTTTGAAACTTAAGGAAAACATTAAACCATCATGGTCACACCTGGTAGGGCCCTTCTTCATATGGTCACCAATAAAAGTTGCATTGGTCATACTCATTAGAGTATTTGCCAAAGATATGATGGAGAGGAGGTGTTGGGTGGTGACAGCTCGCGACACTCCGTAAGTTCCCTTTCCTAATCCCTCGGTTGCTGGAAGCTTCCTTCCTACTTCTGCTTTTCCCTGTGAATGTTTACAAGCGGCTTGATTATAACCAGGAAGCATCAGTGACATATGGCCTCCTCTTGATAAGAGCCCAAAGGACACTGTGCAATGGGGCTTCAGCATTCCAAGGCGATCGAGACACACTTCATCCAGAACTTCATTCAAACCCCAGGCATGAAGACAGGACATGAACAGTTTTGCAGTGTCCATGGTTAAATTGTATTCTAATAGAGTCAGTGGCTTAGACTTGCTGGCACGATATTCAGGATCACTTTCTTCCCTTCTTTGCCTCATTATCTCCTCATCCTCTTCTTCATCATCAAGGAGGTGCTCCTTTATGTTCTCTTTGATAGTTTCTTTCACTTGTTGGAAGAGAACTGCTGCTCGTTTTCCAGTTAGGAAAGAGCCCCCTTTGTCTGAACTGCCAGATGCTTTTTGCAAATTCTCTGGGGAAATAAGCGCAGTATTCGGCCTAGAGGCTTCTTCAGTCAGAAGTTGAATAATCAACGCTTCCACATCAAAGAAAAGCACATGTATGTCCGGATCTGTTAGGTTTGTCTTTATTGCTTGAACCATCAGGGAGTTGTGAGAATATTTAGGCAAATTCCCCTACAATAAATATTTGTAAAAGACTGTTATAATCAAAGATGTTTCATTTTCATTTCATTAGCGAATAACAAATACAGGAATTAAAATGCTTATTAAGCTATCATTTTATGAACTTCTATCATTAAAAGTAACATAGGACTTTGCCAATCAACATCATATAAAAGATAAGAGCTTGTACAATTAGAAGAACTTCATGCTGAAACAAGCACTAAATTGTCAATTAATTTAAAAAACTAAGACAAACATTTCATTGGCTAGAACCAGAGGGTCTTCTTCCTAATAATACAGAGAAAAATTTGCTTCAATAACTTAGAAGCAGATTCTATCTCAGAGAATGAGCATATTGTTCCACCTGAAAGAAAAATGCATTCATCACGACTACTAATCCTTCTGAGTTGTTGTACCATCGCATTCCTCCTTTTCCTATTTTACCTTCGATCTCCCCATGTCCAAAGATTCCTATCCCTTCATAAAGAATACATTCAAGTCTGTTAGAGCCTAACAAAAGTAGTTACCCTTTGATCATGCCTTTTTAGTTTTCTTCCCTCTGCTGTCCCTTTTAGCCAGATTTTCTAAAGCAGTAGACAAACAGAAACTCTTCAGTGCTCCTCCTCCTCCTTAATCATTTTGCAGAATCTGTCACTGCAGTTTTTGCCAAGAGGGCAATGGTGTGTTTTCTGTGTGTGTGTGTGTATGTGTACATGTGTGTACATGCATAAATAAAAAGAACGAATGAGACCCAGCTTTTGTGGCCAAGTCAGTATCGCACCGAACAGCAGTGCTGAAACTGCAAGGCTGGCTGCAGGTTCAGATCACTGGACTGGTTGACCTGAAACATCCTGGACATACTCATGATGAAATTGGGGGGGTGGGGGAGATGAGATGCTCCAGGAAGATTGCAACATGAAGAGACCCTGTTGAGTATACCAAGGGCATTTTTCTCTACCATAAATAAAATAAATATAATTAAAAAAAAAAAAGAAAAAGAAGAAAGGGGACGAGCAGATGGCATAATGGTTACATGGCTGGACTCCCACATAGTCGACCATGGTTTGAGTCCTGGACCCACCAGCTTAAACTCATGCTGGGCATGTGTGCGTACATACACAAAGTCCTGAAAGGAGAATGGCAGAGAAGAGATTGCAGCGTAGACACCCCCCTATGGGGTGATTCCTCACTTTCTGTCTCTCTGTCCCTCCAGCAAGTGCATACATCCTATAGCAAAAATCTCTCAAAAACAAAAAACAAAAACAAAACAAAACAAAACAAAAAGAATGAAAAGCCACCTCTTCAGCTTACCAGAGAACACCCTCCTGGTGAACCTTCTAATTTGGACCAACCCTCCACTCACTTAGGTGCCCAGATAACTCATTCTTTTTCCCACATTAAAATTATCACCTACATGGAAATGGCTCCCTAATTTCCATCATTATCCAGACCATCCTCCCAAAGGGGTCTCAGTCTTACATTTCCGACTGCACATTGCCAGGTGTCCTCAGTGCCACCCTCTCCTAAACCTGCTGCACCTGCTCCATTATTGGTTGGGATCATTCCTCTTCCCTATCACCTCACTGTCCAGAAGAAAGTCATATCCTTATCTCTGCTCCTCTGGACATGTGTCACACCCGCTTCTAAACCTGCTGCACCTGCTGCATCATTGGTTGGGAATCATTCCTCTTCCCTACCACCTCACTGTCCAGAAGAAAGTCATATCCTTTTCTCTGTTCCTCTGGACATGTGTCATTTCCCCTAGTCTCGCCTTACTCCAGCACAATATCCAGAAAGCCACAGACTTCTTTCTGAAGCACAAACCTAATCATGTCACTCTTCTGCCAAAAATTACCAATGTCATGGATTATTAAGAAAAAGGAGAAAATAAAACACTTAAAAACTTAAAATTAACATATACTGAATATTTGATCTTGAGATGAGAAAATACTTTCTAAGCATACTTATATTTAAAATTCATTACTACAAAGTGTGTAATAGGATTTATGTTATAATCTACATAAATATTTCTTGAAATCAGTAAGAAAAATATTAACGTCCAAATAAAAGGGGGAAAACACCCGTAAAGGTCAAATAAAATTCACAGTGAAAGAAAGACAATCAAGAAACAGCAAAAACCTCCTGAAACTAATTGTCAAGGAAGTAACAGTTAAATAAAAACAAACTGCCATTTATAAAACTAGCAAACAGTAAACATTAAAAACAGTATAGTGAAAGTCAAACCCACACACTGAAGGCAGGAATTTAAATATTAATAGTAGCCTTTTGGAAAAGTCATTTGACAAAATACCTCAGCAGCCCTTAAGGTTAATATGTTTGATCCAGTATATTTATTTCCAGGATCCTATCATTAACAGTCAGAAATGCAGGCTTGGGTTTAATGATATTCAGAGTAACAGTAGCCATTATTTTAAATTGGAAATAACCTAAATATCTAGTATTAAGGAAATAGGTAAATAATTCAAGCATAGCTATATAATAGAATAAATACTGTGATCACTACAAATCATGCTTTCCAGCACCTTTAACCACATGGCAAAACACCCCATATTCCAATTTCAAGTGAAATAAAACTGCACATGCATAAACTAACTCTCTCTCAAACACACAAAGTCTTATTCCAATTTCTATTATTTAATGTTTTAAGCATATATGTCACCATGGTAAGAAAAATATGAAGTTAGTAGTTATTACATTTTTGTGGTAGAATTTTAGAATATTTTGTTCATATTTCCACGTATCTCATAAATTGTATATAACCAATATATATTAATTTCATAATTATAAAATAAAGGGTTAGAATAAAATTTAAACTCCTTCAGCACAACATTTAAGACTTGATATGAAATACTTTTTCAGTTTTAACAAACAGGTTCTAGTAACATAACTATTTTCCTTCTTTTTTTTTAAAATTTATTCATTTATTTTAATTTGACCAGAGAAAGAAACACATAGATGGGGGGGCATGTTGAGAAAGCAAGCCACCAGGTCCAGGACTCGAACCATGGTTAGCCATCCAGCGCCTTAACCACCATGCCACCTGCTGGTTCCCTATAACTATTTTCCTTCTTATATAAATCTTTTTATTTGTCTTTCTGCCCACAATGTAGTATTCTCCTTACTACAAACCCTTCTCTTCCATGATGACTGTAATTCTACTAATCACAATATATTTGTATAGCAAATTATCACATTACATACTCTGAATATATGTAATTTTTGGCAATTGGACCTGATTAAACCTGGGGAAAGGGGTATAATTTTCCCAAAGGAAGTTAGTACACAATGAATCCAGTTCCTGTAACATTTTATATCTTCTATGTATCACATATTTGTATATCTTTGCCACATTTATATAACTAGTTTTTTTAAGTATTTACATTTTCCTCTATAGTACCATTTCAAAATCAAGGCCATGTCTTACTCATTTTGTATAATCATAAGCCTTTCAGAATACCCACCAGAATGAACAAAGAGCATTATAATATTTTAAATTATTAATCAATTCTTCTGTCATAAAATTACAACAAATCCCCTTAAACTGGTCTCCCTTCTGTCTCAATTCTTCTCCTATCTAACATGCTTCTTTCTAGCCTAAATGGCTTCACTAGCGTTTCATAACCCAACAATGAAATCCAGACTTTGCAAGCATAAGACATCCTTCAAGATATAATGTTGCCTATACCTCCAATTTCCTCTCTGACCACAATTCCTATAACTTCTGCCAAATTAAATCACTTGTACTTTCCAATCACAGCATTACAGACATTCATATATTTGCCTCTACATTCACTGATGCCAGAATCATGTTCCTTCCTGTCTGTCCTCTTCCTGCCATTCAGGTCATACATACCTCTACTTGTCCTTCAAATTACTAACAGAATTTGTCAAGCAAATTTTAGCACTATCTGCTTTGTAGAAACTTCTGCTCTGAATCGAATGAATGCTGTTTACAGGGGGTTAGAAAATAAATATTTGGAGACCAGCAGATGGTATAATGGTTACGTTGCTGGACTCCCACAATTTGAGTCTTGGATCCAGCAACTTAAAACTCACACCGGGTGTGTATGTGTACCTGCCCAAGACCTCAAGAGGAGAATGAAGGAGAAGGGACTGTGGTGAGGTCATCTGCCCTGGGGAGTGATTTCTTGCTTTCTGTCTGTTCTCCAGCAAGTGCATGTGTCCTATAGCAAAAAAATCTCTCTCTCTAAAAAAAAAAGAAACATTTGCACTCATATGAAAACAGCCTAAGGTGCCTAAGTTACATGATAAATTTACCCTACATAATAGTAAATATGAAGTAAAAACAAACAAGAATTTCTAAATTTCATTCCTCTATTTGATTTATTCATTCCACTGTCACCTAACCCCTCTTATGTTCTTATGTCCTATATTTGTGCAAGACGCTGAGGATACAAAGGTGAATAAGAAATAGTTCACCTAGTCATGGAACTCAAAACTAAACGATAATGACACACAAAGTACTACAAGGTAGTATGAACAGCACTATAAAGAAGGGGGGGTTGCGAAGTATAAGAAAGGTACCCATTGTTGAAGTACCAATTCCATCTTGGGTGATCAGGCAGAGCCTCATGGAAGGCATAACTTGAGCTATGAAGGGCAATTCTGGCAGAAAGACAGTAGATTGTGAAAAAGAATAAAGTCAGGAAACATCGCAAGATGGATGTTGATGAAACCAGAGGTGACCAAGATGGAAAACTTATAGAGGGCCACTCTAAGGCTTCTGAACTTTACCTTATAGACTTGAGAGCCACTCAAGCAGCACTTCTCTCAGACCTACCAAGCATCCTTGGTAAACACAGGTTCCTGTACCTGATAGCAGACCTGAATCAGGATCTCTAGGGATGTGCCAGAACGTGTCTTATGAGTACCTATGATAACTATGCAGTAGAGTTTGAGAGTTATTGTCTAAAGCCCTTAACACAGGGAATGATATGATCAAATTTAATTGTATAAATGTTTGTCCACCA